TCCTGATAATAGAGGACTTAAAACAAAGCGAGCAAACATGAATCTGAGGGTGAGGTTCATTCCAGAGTATGAAGATAACTAGAGGTGACCACAATTTGTAACCCTAAAGAAGAGAAGATTAATATTCTAGTAGACTACTTGTTAGCGTTCCTTTATCTTACCCTTTATCTTACCCAGCCTTATCTAACTCTATGTTGGCAACACCTGGGGGTGTTGTGAAACTAGATTCCAATTCAGTACTATCTGGGGTGGCTATGCGAATTCCAGCAGGGGTTCAAAACAGAATAAAATGTTTGATGTCCTGCTTCAAACTTCTGACCTTTCACTTAGTAGCCAAGCATGTAACTACATGCGCTATCCAAGAACTCCCGTGGTCATGGTCCCTCTGTAAAGAGTTTGTGCCTGATTAAGTCAGACCCACCATGCTAATTCCCTATGTGATTTGGGACTTAATCCCATTCACAAAATTCCTGCACAGCAGCACCTAGATTAATGTTTGATTGAATAACTAGGAGGTGGGTATGCTCTACAAAATGGCTGCTGTCTCCCTTCTGCTCTCCGGAATTTCCCTTGTACCTTGCCCTAACACACTAGAATGGGGGAATTCTAGTAGATACAGTTTCAAGGGAGCCAAGTTGGCCTATCACAATTTCATTACCTAACCTAAAAGTATTTGAGTTACTAAGTGTAGTATTAATTTTGGGGGAGTAGGTTGGGGGCCAGGCCCCACCGCTACTACTACCCACGGGTTCAGTAATGCACAATTGTATGGTTGAGATATATAAGTCTTATATTAAAGTTGTCGAGAGCATGATAGATAGAAGAGGTATTACAATGATGCAGTCAGACACATTACATGGTAGCATTGCTCACCTCAGCCTTGCTTAGTGGTCCACGTGGAGAGAGGGGGAAGGGAAAGAGGACAGGAACAGGGGAGCAAGGATGGGAGAGGAGAGGGGGAAGAGAGGGGAGAGACCAGCGAGAGAGAGATTTCTATTGCTGACCCATGCCTATATACCTTTTGGGAGTGTGCAAGCCCACTAATTACAGGTAAAGACATATGTCACAGGAAGGGGTTACACTATAGGTTACCCAGCAATGAGAGGGGGTGGTCTAGGGACATATACTCAATAGGAAGAGGAGGGATTGGGGTTATACATGTGACAAGATGGGCGGATCCTAGATTTAGGATGGTAGCATAACTTTGACCTGTTCCCTGGGTCTCCATAGGAACCATTATCAGTAGGGTATAAACTCCTTCTACAGGAACCTGTCCATTGTCCCCAGCAGCAGGGAGTGGGCCCACTGCAGTCTGACAACTGATCTCAGGGAGGATGCCTGTTAGCACCTGACCTCCCCCCACAACTAAGAACCACACTACCACTGTCTGGGTTTTGGGGGTTTTTTCTGCTTGTTTATGGTTTGTGTTTTGTTTTTTTAATGTATACAAGGAGATTTCAAAATATTCATGGGGAAGGATCATGTAAGTCCACACAGAAGAATCACACCAGCCAGTGTGATCCAAGGATTTCCGATAATAAAATCCCAATCTGAAGGAGGAAATAGTATCAGCTTAAATTGTGAACACTCGGTTTGCAGAGGACTATGGATGCCAATCAAAGCCCAAAAACTATTTGCAGGATCCCCACATAGACTCCAATGAATTTGTTAGTCTGGGTTGACTAGAGAAAAAAAAAAAGAGACACTCACAGGTGTAGAAAAAAGAGCTGTATATCAAAGAATAATTGTATATTAAGAAAACAGCCCAGTCCAGTCCAAATCATGCCCATGTCTGATGCCAGTCTATAAATTTCCCTTCTGACTCACGAAGCCATGCAATGACACCGACGCAGGAAGATCACAGGCTAGTGGGTGAAACGTTTGTGGATCCAGTAGCCATGGAAGCATCTCAGCACTGATGTGGATCTCCGAGTGGTTCCTCCAGCTCCAGGGCTCTGGCTCTGTCAGCATGGCTCCATGTGTCTTGTCAGTAGGCAGACAAAGCAGAGAGTGACTGGGTCTGGCCTCCAGCCAGCGATTTAGCGCCTTTGTGCCTCCAAATGAAGTCATCAAGCTGCGACCTGGTTTACAGGCGAGACTCCACCCCTTCGATCAAGTTGACATGAGATTTACGTAATCCCTTCTGACTCTAGTTCAGGGAGATGTGAATAGCTTTGCTATCAAACAGCATTGTAAAGTCGATTGTGGTAGGTGTTAAAATATAATGTCTTATCATTTGATATCCCTTTTAACCCATTTTAAAGTTGTTTCAGTTTTTTATATTTTCTGCTTTCTTTTTCCTTGAGGCTTTTCTATGTTTTGTTTGGTCATTGTTTTCTTTCTTTCTTATATTCTTGTTTGCTTCCTGTTTGTGTTTTGTATGGCTTTCTATATGTGAAATCCAGGATAGGTAGATCTATAGAGACGGTAACTAGATGGATAAATACCTAGGGCTACGGCAAGGGAGGATGGGGCAAATGGGGAGCTAACAATGAGTTGAAGAAAATGCTCTGAAATTTATTGTGGTGATGATTGCATAAATCTTAATAAAATCAAACGATTAAATGGTACGATATGTGAGCAATATGCCAATTAAACTTTTCGTTTCATTCCATGGATAACTTCCATTATCTTAATCCCATTTTCCATGAATTTTTGACACTCCATGTATATTAGAATAGATAAGTGTATATTGATACGTCCAACCGACGACTAAAGATAAGATTTATAAAGATACTGTTAATGAAATTTTCAAAAGAGAGAGGAAAAAAATTTTTTTAATTTAAAAAAAAAGAGGAGGATGTATTCTATTCATAACAGAACCTACTACCGTCAGAACAAAATCGTAGTAAGGCAGGGACTACCTGTACAGTAAAAGTGCCGAAAACTATAGCCGCTTAGAGCGGAGTAGGTGGCCTCCGGGCTGAGAAGACAAAGCACTTCCTGCCCTGGAGCCCTTGACCAAGTTCATCCACGGACGCATTAGCCTGGACACTGAAAACCACAACTCCCAGCATCCCCGAGGCGGGATCGAGGCCGCGGTGTGGGCGTGGCCCCAAGAAGGCCCTCCTTCGGGGGGGCCGGGCTAGTCCGCCCGGAGCATCTCGGGAAGTGGCGGGAGAAGCGACGATGGCGGCGCTGCAGGAGCAGGGCGGTCAGTTGCAGAAAGGAGCGCAGGTGAAGGGCGCTTACTCTTTGACTCAACTTCCCCGACAGCGCGTCTCCTGGGAGTCACGACTGCTTCTTTCTGCCCCCCTGCGCCTTAGACCCTCCGGGGCGCTTCCCTTCCTTCGTTTCCTCCGGGGGGCGGCGGGGAGGCGTAGAGGAGGAGCCGGTTAGCAGGAGTCCCTGAGCCTCCGCGGCTGGCTGCCCCGAGCTCCAAATCTGGGCGCTTACTGAAGCCGCGGGGCTTGATTCCTTGAGGAATCCAATCCAATCATTGTTCTCCGGGCTCTTCCCGTTGCTCACTGGACCACTCAGCTTCGTTCCGTTTCTGACCTCGGCGCCCTCCCTCGGATCATTTAGGGTACCCGGATATTCAGAGGGCGTTTCTTCTGCTTTGGGTCCCTTCTTGTCGCTTGGGGCCATGTCGCTGAACGAAACTTGTAACAGCTGTCCCCCTTTGAATGTTTTAATGGTCAGGTGGCTGCCTGGTTGAAAACCGTATTTGGAGATCAGCCCGTTCCACCGTATGAGGTGAACCCACGGACCACCGAGGTTCTGGCTCACCTTTCAGAACGCAACAAGGCGCGGGACAGGGACGTGGCCCTGGTAATAGAGGACTTGAAGCAGAAAGCCAGCGAATATGAATCCGAAGGTGAGGTTCATTCCCGAGTGTGAAATTAACTGGATAACTAGAGATGAAGACAATTTGTAACCCTAAAGAAGGGATGATTAATCTAGCATAGACCACTTATCCTCTTTTTAAAAAATGTTACTAAGACTGTTAGAGTAACTTTTTAAAGTCTTGTATCTCATGACGGTGCATTGGGGTTCCAAGGCTGTATCTTTTTTTTCTTAATCATTTTATTAGGGACTCATACAACTCTTATCACAATCCATACATACATCCATTGTGTCAAGCACGTTTGTACATTCATTGCCCTCATCATTCTCAAAACATTTGCTCTCCACTGTCGCCCCCTGGCATCAGCTCCTCATTTTGTAAGGCTGTATCTTTACAGAAGCAGACTGCCTCATCTTTCTCCCTGGAAATGGCTGGTGAATCTGAGCCACTCACTTTTCAGTTATCACTTTTCTGCTTAGCCCACCGTGCCACCAGGGCTCCTGACAACAGAACTGAACTTAGCCTGACACACAGCTGCCAATGTGATTTGGTCTGCCACCTGTCTGAGGGGCACTTGGTGTGGCTGTGCCATGAACTTGACAAATCCCCCAGGCTGTGTACTCAGGATTACATTAGAAATTTTGGTTGAGCAAATGGCATTTGAAAAAGTATCTTCAAGACTACTGTTTTTATAATTAAAAAACAAAAACACTGCCCACCAAGTCCATTCTGACTCATGACAGTGCTGTAGCACAGAGTAGAAGCGCCTTTTAGGGTTGCCCAACCAAACACCAAGCTCACTGCCGTCGAGTTGATGCCTACTTATAGGAGACCGACCCTGAAAGACAAGGAGAACTGCCTGTGAGTCTCCGAGACTGTAACTCGTCAGCTTTCTCCCTCAGAGCAGCTGGTGGTTTCAAACTGCTGACCTTAGGGTTAGCAGCCCACCCGAGTAACCACTATGCCACCAGGGCTCCTTCATAGGATTTCCAAGACTTTGTACATCTTTAGGGAAGCCGACTGCCTCTCACATTGTTCTCCCACCAAATGGTTTTGAACTGCCAGCCTTTGGGTTAGCAGCTGAGCTAACCGAGCACTGCACCTGTGTGCTGAACCTGGCGCTTGAAGAGTCACCAGCTGGCACTGTTGCTCACGATCTATTTTGAGTTCACTCTGAGTCGGCCTAGCTCTTCCTTTTTCTGAAGGTGATGGAATTCTCCAGGAAAGTTTCACAAAATATAATCATAAACTTTTTGGTCTCTGTAGGATGGATTTAGGCACTATTCTCCAGAAGGCAAGGCCAAAAATCACCTTGAGAATGCTAGTAACAGGTGTTTCTCAGTGATACTCAGTTTTTGTAAGATCTTAAATATTTGTTTGTTTGAATTCAAGTTAAAGTCAAGCACCAGACAGAAATCAGGAATTTGTAAAATAGCTCCATGTTCACTCCCAACCAAATAAGGACACTGCACATCAGCGTATTCTCTTAGTTGACATATCTGTGAAGTGAGTTTTTCTTCTTACATTTATGGACTTGAAAACCAAGTTGTATGCTAAGCACCATTGTGCATGCGCTCTGTCTTAAGTCCCACAACGATATTTTGTCTTCCCAATGTGCCCTTTGAGCTATTCTGTTCAGTCCTTTGATTTCATCACATCTTTCACGGGCCTTAGCTACCCTCGGTTCAAGAGCAAGTTTTAGAGTCTCTCCTGACCTCCACTTTGGTCTTGTTTTTCTTTGTCTTTTTCATACCATTTGCTTTTTCACGTATGACGTTCCTGATGTCCTCCCACAGCTCATCAGGGCTCCTGTCATTAGTGTGCAGTGAGTCTGATCTGTGCTGAGATGGCGTTGACATTCAGGTGGGACAGACTCAAAGTCGTATTTTGGCTCTAGTGGACTTGTTTTCATTTCCTGCAGCTTCAACTTGAACTTGCATATAAGCCACTGTTAACCTATTCCACAGCCAGCCTTGTTTTGGCTGATGATTTTGAGCTTTTCCACTCTATCTTTCCACAGATGTAGTCAATTTGATTCTTGTGTAATCCATATCCCAAACCAAAATCACTATTATTCAGTCTATTCTGAGTCATAGTGACCCCGTAGGACAGACAAGTGCCCTTGTAGGCTTTCTGAAACTATCAATATTGTAAAGCACCAGTAGAGTATCCACATCATAGAATGTCATTTGTCAATAAAAAGGAATGAAATACTAATACATGCTACCACATAGATAAACCTGGAAAGTCCAGGTACAAAGACCATACATAGTATGATTTTATTTATTTGAAATTCCCCAAATAGGTAGATTTATAGACAGAAAATAAATTAATTATCTAGGGATGGAAGAATGGGGAGGCCTTAGAAGGATGGGGATTTTCTAGGGGGGAGATGAAAATATTCTAAAACTGATTGCGGTGGTGAATATACAACTCTGAATAGATGTTGCAAGCCATTAAGTTGGATCTAGAGGTGACTTGCATGATATGGAGTAATACCGTTAAGAACAAAATATCTTGGTCACCAGGGAACCCTTTATCTTTTCAGCGAAGCATCTTCAAGACCTGCTCCTGCAGAGTGTGAATTTCTCCCTTGCCAACCTCTCCAGCACCGGCTCCATGTACCTGAACGCTTTGGTTGACATAGCCATGGTTCTGGAAACAAAGGATTCATCACTAACTAGGTAAGATTTGCGACAGAATTTCATTGCTGCCATCATAGGTGCTGTTTAGTTCTCTGGGTAATTTCACATAGTTAATTCGTAGTAAATATAAAAACACGGATTTTGCTAGCTTTTTCCCGTTGCTACCGCGTATAATTCAGATACATTCGACATTGGTTTATATTTAATGTGGTGGTTCCTTCTAGGATTACATTTGTGCCGCAGTGAATTAGTTTGTAGGACGTCTGTAGCCACAGTCTGTCTTGACTTCCACACAGTGACTAGGAGGCGCTGTGCAGCGTGTGTCCAAACCAAGGGATTGGGTCGCTTGCTGTAATGCAAACGAGGCCTGTGGAACCTGTGATGGGAACGGTGGGGTGTCCACTTGGTTGGGCCATGGATTTCAGTGGTCGGGCAGTTAGGCAATGATGTAATTTGGCAGTTGTGGAACGTTATAGTCATCCTCCACTTGGTGATCGGATGTAATTGTCTTTGAATCACCACCTTACTAAAGGTATGACTCAAGCTGACCTGTCACCGCCCTTACCGCCCTTATTCAAGTCATGCCCTTGCACTCCCTTGCTCGAATAAGGGGGTTTCCTTCAGGGTCTGGTCTACATCTGTCCAGCTAAATGAATGCCCTGGTGGCACGTGGTTTTAGAATCCTTTCTTACTTGCCCTAATAAAAACTTGACATTTGTGTACAAAGGGGCTTCAAAAACTTTGTGGAAACATTCCATTTTAACTTTGTTTTTCCACAAAATTTGGGAAGCCCCCTTGTCTATCCCCAGAGAGATACGTTTTGACTACGAGGCTGTACAGCATCAGAATTCTAGCCTTGAATTAAGTCAGCTCCACAGCCACCAAATACCAGTGACATGCCAGGCACTATGCTACGAGCATGGGGGAGGCAGCGATGATTAATAGTCACCGTCAAGGACAGTCCCTGCCCAGAACCAAAGAAGGAATAGGGACAAACTGATACAGTGTGACAGCTGCAACGCTGTTAGAATAGACCGTCTGCAGCTGCGTCGAACAGGGAAGGGAGATTGCCAGGAGGGAGGGATTTTATCAGCGCTTTGAAGGACAAGTGCTTTCCAGAGAACGGGAAGAGCATGTAAAAATGCATGCAGGCGTGAAACGTGTGGTTGTGTAAGAAGCCACACAGGTCCTTTGACCCAACAATTCCGTCCCTGAGTAGATAAGCCCAAAGAATTGAAAGCAAAGGACTGTGCCATGTCCGTGGGATGGTTAGTCACAGTAGCCAAAAGGTAATTGTCAGGGTAGAGGTGGTCCTATGCATGAACCTTAAAAAATGCTCTTAAGGCTGGTCCGAAGGTAGTGAGATCTCAACGATTGCTTACAGTCAATTACTGGTTGACCTGTGTGTCTACCCCCCCCCCCCACTACTGCACTTGACTAGTCTAATAAAAAAAGCTTTTAAAAGACATAAAAGGGCAAATATATCATCCATTTGCATGAAGCATTTGGAATAGAGAAATGTAGCGAGAACGACGTTTATTAGTGATTATCAGAAGTGAGTGGAGGGTGTTAAAAAAAGGAGGTATTATATAATGAGTACCGAATTAAGGGTGATTAAACAAAAATGGAAACAAATAGCAGTGATGACTGTAAAGCCTGGTAAACTGCCACTAAGTTGTGTATGCCAAAACGATCAAAATGCCCGTGTTAGGCCGGGTTCGCTAAAGAAGCAAAACCTATATGCATCTAGAAAGACCCTGATGCCAAGAAGTGGCTCACACCACTGTAGAGGCAGGGGAGTCCAGTCTCATTCAAGTCCCTGGGACAGGTGTTCTCCTGACTCCCATAGCTGCAGGGGCTGGCCAACAGGAAGCAGGAAGATGAAGCAGGATGCCCACGGTCAGGTGGGTGCCGAGCTGAGTGACTCAGAAGTCAGCCAAATGAACCCAGGGTCAGCAGTCTGCTGCTGACCCCTGAGAGCGGCAGGCAATGTGACAGGAGGCCGGAAACCAGATGCAGGGTCCAGATCCAGAAGACGAGCACTAGCCTCGTGCAGCTCCGGGGTCATGAGGGCAGACCAGGCCCCTAAAGAAGCCTCCCTTCACGTGTCCAGGCTGTGGCTTGATTAGAGACGTGGTACTCTGTTCTTCCCACAACTGCGTGGCTGCTTCACGGAAGATTCCGTGTCATCACAGACGACAGGCTGGGTCACGCCCTGGGGGATGCTGGCCCAGCCAAGTGGACAGAAAGCTAACTGTCCAGTGGCAAGTGCTTTATTTGCTATGTTTCACCGCAAGCAGAACATGTCTAAAGTAAAGAATCCACATAGATGTGAATCATTCTTTATAAATGAGGGGGGAGTTCTACGCTTTGCCAGTGATATCCATGTATGTAACCAGAGGTTTCTTTTAGTTTTATTCCTGCAGTGAACGACTTGACCTCTGATCTTTTTCTTACCAAATCCAAAAATGAAGAAATCAAGCTTGAGTTGTCAAAACTGGAAAAAAATCTAACTGGAACTTTAGTATTAGAAAAATGTCTACAAGAGTAAGTGAGTAAGCTGGAAGTGGGAGCCATTTTAGCTTGGCAGTAGGCATGGTTTAAAGGAACGCATGAGGAACTAGGGCCCATACAATGTTTCTGAAGTAGATAACCAAGGGGGCGGGCAGGTATCGACTTGTGTTTGTTTACTTCCTCTAATTTCCTTTGGGGTAGTTCTTTCCATTAACGGGGGCCTTTTTAACGTGTCTGGATTTTTCACTTCGTAGTTGACAAGTCAGGGGCATTCTATTGTGTAGCTCTTTTCTTACGTTAGCGCTGGTGTCTTTTCTTTTCAGGCTACGGACCCTAAGTCCCTGGACTTCATAAACTAGGGGCTGTGAATAAGGAGTACGTGTGTGTAGAAGTAATTCGGTGCTGTATAGAAATTCACCCAGCAAGTACTCAGATCTGGATGGTCAGGGCAGCATGTCATTCCACATTCAGGAGAGAGGCCTTGGAACCTCCCTGTTTCATGTTGGTCTTAGGATAGATTAAGACGTTCTTTGGGAGGGATTTGTTTTCAGTATTGGTTAATTTCTAAATCATTTAGTAAAAGAATGTGTACTCTTGAGAAAAGTCTGGAATGGCAATGTAGAGGGGCCCGTGACCTGGAAGAATGCATGGCAGTTAGTTTTGGGTAGATCATTTATGGCAGACGATCCTTCAAGTAGATTAGCTACAATTTGCACCCAGAGCATGGTAGAGTTTGTTTGCTTTTTATATCGTCGTTTCACGGAGAAGACGGTGACTCTGCCTGTATCTTTTGAAGAGACCTCAAGAAAGCAGAGCAGCATCTCTCCAAGGAAAAGGCCAGAGCTGACCGTCGCCTTCAGAACATGGAGTTTCTAAAAGCCAAGTCAGAGGAGCTCCGATGTGGAGTCACAACTGCCGAGGTTAGTGTGAAGGCCTGAATAGCGTGAGTTTTTACGGAGACCTTCACTCACGATTAGACAGTACCATCCCTCCTCGCAGATCGAAGAACACAGGCACAGAGATCTAAGGTAACTTGCCCCCACTCGTGGAGCTGCCTCACACCAGATACAGATGCAAACCCAGGTACTCAGGCTCTTAAGCATTGGACCCATGTCACCACAAATATGTTAGTGCGGAAATAATTCAGTTATAGCAGTGTTTCCCAAAGTGGGGGGATACCCCCTCCCACCTCTCCCCCTGGAGCATTGAAATGATCCGGGTGCCTGTAAATGCAAACACCTGCACTTTATCCTGCATGGTGGGCTGTGGTCCCAACGTTTCTCCTTTGCTGTTACCGCATCAGAGTTTGGGATGGGTGTGCAGCTTCTCCGCACCCCAAGGTGCATAGATGTCACTCTGAAACTACCAGCCTTCTCCTCACCGAGGCCCCTTTTTGGTCTTTGCAGGAACAGCTTTCCGCCAGGGGCATGGACGCTTCCCTGTCTCACCAGTCGCTGCTAGCACTAGCGGAGGTGAGCCGGTTTTAACCACGTGGGCCTCCCGGGGTTGCTTTTTGACAGAGCGTTACTTTTATGCTTTATGTTCACCAGTACTTGAATCTCTTTGTTCAGCTACCTGTTACATATTAAGGGTTGGTTTATTGACCCACTGTTTATTGAGGGACTGTGCGCCAGCCTTCTAGGTGCTGATACTCCTTTCCTTTCAGTGCACAACAACAACAACTATATCTCTCTATCTATCCTCGAATGCTTCTAGTTTCCAACTCTCATTCTGAGCTTTTAGCGTGTAACTTCTTGGTGGAAAGAGAGGGAGAGAAGGGGTTTTCTGTATTGCTGTTGCAAGAAACGTCGGTGGTCATCTCGGATCTCCTCTGGCTCAGCACTCCATCCTACTCTACCTGTTCGACACCACCCCTTTCTCTCACACCACTCTACACCAATGCAGGGTTCAATAATTTGTTGCAATGGCCACACAGAACTCACAGGCAAAGTCACAATGAAGGGGGATTATTCGGGAATTTGAGGAGTCCTGGTGGCATAGTGGTTACAAGTTGGGCTGCGATCTGCAAGGTCAGCAGTTCTAAACCACCAGCCGCTTTGTAGAGAAAAGACAGGCCACCTGGAGGACAAAGAGTTATAATCTCAGAAACTCTCAGGGCAGTTCTACCATGTCCGCTATGAGTCAGCATTGACTCGACGGCAGTGAGTTTTTGTTTTGTTTTGTTTTTGAATTAGGGAAGTCAATAGGTTCCACAAGTCAGGATCAGCAAGCAGTGAGGATGCAACCGTTGGTCTCCCCTCAGCAGCCGAGTCTCTCTCCGGTCCTCAGTCTCTCAGGCACATGGTCCCTTGGCCTTTGCCTCCGTGGGCCAGGAGGCCAGCCCGCCTGTCCCTCTACCCGCCAGCCCCATAGCCTCAG